CCTCCCTACCTCCTTTCGGACGTATCACAGGTCTTGCCCTATGACCTTCGGTACCGCTCCGCTCCCTCTACCCTTTGTTCCCGTTCGGACGTCTTCGTTCCGATTCGGTCACCCTTTGTTCTCTTTGTGCTTTTGCCCCTTCCATTATATATATCGGCGCTTGTACATACTCGTCTTGGTTTCAGTCCGAAATCGACCTGAAATGCCCCCTAGAGACTTCCTGCTCACCTACTGTGAAATTAAGGACCAAATGGACAAACAGCAATGGCACAGCGCTCCGCTTGAGTCGCTGAGGCCAAGGTCCCTCCACGCTAGGTCTCCGATTCCACTCCGGAGTCGTCCGTTTCCACCCGTTCTAACAGCGTGGGTTCACAACGAACTCTGGTTTAAGGTCAAATGGGAACTAGGGGACACCACATGGGAACCCCTGGGAAATTGCAACGACCTCATCCACCTGGACGAGTACCTCACCTTACAAAATGTAAGGGAACCAGAAAAACTCCCTATCAAAGAAGACAGGGAACTCTCGGCATCACTACGCCCCCAAAAATGGAGGCGGAGGAAGTAAAGCCGAGGGACGATGGCCCACAGCCAAGAGCGTGGGAAAGTTCTGGGCGAGTAACTCGCCCGGACAGCCACACCATGTACTAGAGATCACATGGGCTAGGCGAGTAACTCGCCTAGACCACGTGAACCACAGGCTCACATGCAAAAGAACACACAACTGCAGTGAATCCCACGCACGCAAGAACGAAAACCCCTCCCACCACCACAAGAAACATAATGACGAAATGTCGTTCTCTGGGGGAGGCAACCCTTGGTTCGATCCAAACAAGCCACCGGACATCGAAATACGACAACCTGGGGAGCAAGGCTCCCCGGAACAACAACAACACCAGGCGCAGATAAGCGCCATGGACTACATGACGCACGCAGCACAAATGAGTGCTGCAAACCAACAACCATCCGCGTTGCTAACAGGCACCGCATACCCTCAGCCTCCTCAGAGGGGCTTCCAACCATACGCGGTGCAAACTGCACCGATGGCGCAACAAGCGCCATTCCAGGGGCAGCATTTGCTGCTGCAGCCCCAGGCATACTCCCCAGGGAACTTCCCTGGCCAGATTAACCCCTGGATTGGCCAATTTGGCCCAGGTCCAACAACACCCCAGCCAAATGCAGGCTGGGAATCAGCCATCATGTCAGCGGTAGCTGCTCAGACAGGTCAGCTCCGTGAGGAGCTGAAAGAAATGAAGTCCCTCGTAGGAGGGAGATGAGGGAGCGACAGCGGCTCCTCGTCCAGACCGTCCAAACAGGCATGGTCTGATAACTCAAGGGTGTCAGAAGATGCCTGTGACCATTGTGCCCACTGGAGGCGCGAATACAACAGAGCACGAAGAGACACCGAGGGCATCTTCAACTCTCTGAAAGACACAGAGAGAGAGGTCGATCTCCAAAAAAGGGAGATTGAATTACTGAAATGCGAGCTCAGAGAGGCATGTGCACTGGCAGACCTTGCTGCCAAACCCATTATGATGGGGGCCTCCCAGGTCAGGGGAGGGGATACGGTGCCGGGGCACCGACTATCCTGCCACCCCGTGGGCAGGCGACCCTGTCCGGGTTGCATAAGGGCCCGCCCTCAGAAGGGCAAACCCATGTCGAGGGGAAGAGGGAGAGCGGTAGGCAACCAATGGCAGACCCTAAAACGGGGACCACTGCCAGAGGCGGCGGGCCGCTGAGTACCTCAGCACCCTATGGGCAAGCTACCCTGCAGGGAAGTGTCCACATGCTATACGAGACCGCCGAACTCAACGAGTTCGGCAAAGTCGAAGCTCCAGTCGACGTAACATTCGACCCCAACTTCCCCATGAGGAGAATAGCGGGGTCAGAAGCGGTGCACAACGCTGCATACGCTTGGTGGACAAGCGTGAGTGGGAAAGAATTCATACACTGGTACGAACAGGCCGAAGCCGCCTTCAAAAGCGGCAAGGTACACAGAACCCTTCACGATAAAGCGAAGGAAACCAAGAAATACTTCTTGGGACTCCCGAGTATTGCAAGACTTGTGGAGGAGTATAATTCCCTGGAGAATAAGGGAAAAATCTCCTGGGAAAGTCTAGGCAAAGCTGCCTATCTAAAGTCCCAGTTCAAACCACTCAGGACTCCTGAGGAACGTGCCGCAAGAACTGCGGGATGGGAAGCGAAAGCTTCCAAATACCGGGAAAGAGATGCAAGTCTCCATGCTGGACAACCAGCCCAACGACCACCCTTCCCCATGGGAAGAACGGTAGACCTACCGTACTCCACACCTGAGCCAAGTAGCTCAGGAACACAACAACACGCTCCCACCCAGGGAGCGCCCACTTCGTCAAGCCCACAGCCTGACAATGTAGCCCAGGCTATGTCATCGCATCCGACACAGCAATTGGATGTCCAGATGAACAACCCGGAGGAAAACCCTCCTCCGGGGCAATGACTCCACCCTTGAGAAAAGGGAAAGTGACATGGTAATACGCCATCGAGGCGCTCGTGAAAACACCTTCCCCCAACTCGAGGCCCCGCACACAATACTGTATGCGAGGAACCGCAAGTAACAATTGCGGAAATCTCCACTCCGCCAAAAGACCCACATCCACCACCGCTTGTGTGTAAACACCACTTACACACGAACCCTCACGGAACAAGTGAGGAACACCAAAGACATATAACCTTTGGGTCGAAATTCATTTTCGACAAACTCCACTATTTTTCTCCCTGCGATACCCATGTATCACCGTTCACTTCAAAGTAACGGCCCACACTCATTTATTTCTTAAACCCTCCCTCTCTCCTTCACCGACATGTATAAAATCGCCCACTTTAAAGTGGTGACAACAAAAAACACTCATTGACAATTCCAAACTCAATGTAAATCAATTATTAAAAATTTGTTTTATTTCACTATCAACCTTGTATGCGTCGCAAATGCAACGCAAGGGGGGAGAATGTCAGGGCAATAGCCCCGAACCCCGAGTCATATGTAAATTAGATACATATAGTCATGTGGGTAAGCAGGAACCTCCAGGTAACTGCTTACACACCACTGTAAAATACACATACTTGTATCACTTATGGCTTTGTGTGCTGAGCTACCCAAAGACCTCACACAACGCTAAGGCTGGATGGCTGTAAGGACTTACAATGTGTACCCACACATTGTCTGTCCTTTGCATACTTTGCATCAAGTGCAACTGCAGTCACACTTCAGTACCATAATTAACCTGTATAATATAAAGCTGCATTACATCATGTAGATACATGTATATAAGATGCACAGGTAGGAGGAAAGGCCCCTCAGCCTTTACTCCCCCATTAACAATACAGCTCATTAAAGCGTACTTGTGTGACAGACTGGGAGTGTGAGGCACTAATAACCACACACTTACAATGGCAGTCCTGGCTGAAACTTCAACGTAAGTTCATCACTTCACTTACATTCAGTGTTAAATGTCTCCAGCAGGGACAGACAGCAAGGAGGCCGCTGTACAACTGAAGCAAGAGTTGATGGCCCTTGAGTCACAATACCCCAATAGAAAAGAAGAGGCCAAAGCAATGTATCAAAAAATGCTGACTCACTATGCTGATATCAGCATGAGCAAGGGTGAAAAGGAGATCAGTGTGAATGAGGGTATGTTTTTACTTGCAAAGTCCACTGCCACCTACACAGCCCAGGTAAGGACCACACCAGAGTTTTCTGCCTTTGTTCACATCTCTATTTGATAGGTGACAGCACTGAGTACATATTACAATATTGGAGTGGCCATTCTAGGCTTTATTGTTGATGAATCACTTCCTGTCAGGGACGCATCTGGGGTAGAGGAGGCCTGGGTGAGATGCCCAACACTGGAAGCCTCGTGGGGTGTGGAGCAGGCATGCATACTGGCAGGCCCAGCTCAGGAGGCAGTCCCTGGCCACTTAGACTGAAGTGGAAAGGGTGTTATTATTACAGCCATTTGCAGAAAAATCTGCTGTTTTGAATTTATCGGGTATGTGATCCTGGTCATTCACCTTCCTAAAAAAGTTGGAAGGATCAGGTTCAATGAAATAGGATTTCCTTATGCAGATAGTTGGCTTAGCACTGGGGTCCAACCTCAGTTTGGGCACCACAATATATACAAAATCACGTTGTAGGCAGGATAATCGCCCACACTCAGAGCTGGCTTGGATACCCATTTCCACAATTGGAAAACCACTTCCATTCACCCAACAACACGGCACGAATTTGGTATCTAAAAACAGTGCTAATTTGTATGATTCCGACGATATCAAGAACATCCCAAACAGTGGAGAATTGATGGAGTTCTGCATTGGACAGGTTAGGCATGGCAGGTCACGAGTATGTGCAGGCGTGGGAATCTCAAGCAGCAACCCAGAATTCCAGCCTCACTCGTTCCCACAGTGTCTAATAAATTGGTAAAAATGCTTATCGGTTGCATGAGAGTTATCTCCGGCTGCATTTCCAATTTTGGCTCTTAATTCCGCAAATCTGTTGAGATATCGCTTATTTCTTATATTTTCATATTTTTGCCATCATTTCAGATATTCTTTTATTGTTACTGTTACCCTTTTTATTATTTCGCCTAATAAGGTATGCAGGTGCCATATGGCACCAATATTTGCCATCTATTATTTCTAAAAATAATTGTTTCTTATAATCCTGTACATACCGGGATTGAGAAAAGAAGTTCTCCCCTCCCCCAAAATTCTCTAAGGTGCTAGGATGTGCTAGAGTTGGTGTGAGTGAGTGGAATTCCAACAGTAGGAATAAGGGCAACAATCTAGCCTGCAACGAGTGGGTAGTGGATTTGTTGAGCCTGGACCTTGCGGAAATCCCGGAGAACCCACCACAGAGTTAAGGATCGAGAGTTAAGCAAAGTCTAGAGAGAAAGTAGGAGTTTTGGAGAGTTTGACCCCAAGAGCTTAGTCAGCATCGAGAGCCATGAGCCCTCTTGCAACGTGGCCATCATGCAATGACTTGCAAAGTGAGGCTTGCTGTCAAAACCAATGTACTCCATACTCTGCTGAGTGGCACTATTGCTCCTCCACTGCTCATGGCCTATCCTTGGAACATACACCTGCTGGCATAGCATAGTCAAAGTCTGCAGATCTATTGTACCCACTCACTGGATGCACAGAACATGCTGCTGATGCAATTCTGACCCAACTGTCTATCACATCAACCAAATCATGACTCAACAAGCCATCTGACAGGTCATGGGCAAGGTATGCCAACTTCAGGGCTGGCATTCTTGTTGGGTCAAGTGCTCATTGTTTGTTTGTTGGCATACCAAATGAGCACCTGTGATTTGGCCATGTGGTACAGCGATGACAGCAGCAGGGGTTGCCTGTTGACTGGTCATTCTTTATATTGGGCACCTAGCACCATATACAGGACACCTGGAACAGGGGGAAGGACTGAAACATTGCATGCTTTACTCAAACTATCCAGCTTAATATGTCGTTCAACCCCGGTGAGAATTTATATGTCAACAATGATGATAAGTGTGATGGGCAACCTCCCTATTCCTCTCAACCCCAACCCACTCTGAACCCATTGCCTCTGCCTCTGCCTGTGCAAATGCTGTCGACCCAAAGTGATCTTCCCATCTATCCTGGTCAATTGGGCCCTATCTGTCAGGGCACACACCCTGACTAGCCCAGACCCGGACCCGCATCCAGACCCACATCCACCTGCTGCGCTTCCCACATGCATGCATGCTCTGCGCACCGCATGTTCCAGGCCCAGTTCCCACCCCCTCATGTGACTTCCGGGTATCCCCGGAAGTTTGCCTGATATTGTGGCCACTGTGGGAAGATGAGAAGTTAGCTTCCTTCTCATCTTCTTACCCACAGTAGGTTGTGCCCTGGATAGGGCTGGTTACACCAGAGGCTGTGGACCATAGGGGACCCGGGAGTCATCCCTGGACACTATCGTGGTGTTCAACCCTGTGCCACCATATAGGATCCATATCCCCATGTCGGCCCCCCCCCAGCAGTGTCATCCCAGGTGCCACGAGTTGCCACTGAGCATAGCAAGCTAAACAGGAAGGAGAAGGAAAAGCAAAATGAGAAGGGAACAAAAGGTATGTTTCAGCATCTTACTATGTCTTTCTTAATCTTACTTTGGGCAACTTTATACTGCATAGATTTTGAGTACCAGTTCACTCTGAACACAATGGATCCCAAGAAGGAGGATGAGACTGTATTCTTTGTTGATTCAAAATCTCGACCACCTGAAGAAGTTCTTCACCAGATTTTAAGTAGGATGGAGGTGGACCTTGCTGCCCATCGCATTGGTTATCATCTCTCTGATGAAAAGGAATTGATCTGGACACGTATTAACAATATAGAGGATTTTACCCACGTGATTGAGGCTCAATGCGAAATTCAGTCCCAAGCATACAAGACCAAAAAATTATGCATTATCAATAAGGTTTGTGTTTCATTGCACTATGATAACAATAACAACAACTTTGTGAATCCAGGATGCAGTCAGGAAGGAAGTTTGAGTCATTGCAATCAAAAAACGGAGCACAGCCACAGCCGCCACAACTGCTTCTGTGTGTCATGTAATATATGAGGAACTTTGCAAGAAGCTCTGGTGCAATGGATGCTTTAAACATTGCTATCACCACCCTGATGTGGAATTCCATCATTTGCATTTGGACAAGGAGGCAATTGCTGTCTGGGCAAAGGCAATGGTATGCTTGTTTAGTTCTTCACTCACGCTTCCTCTCACTCAGCCTGAATGGTGTCATAGACTGATGGTGTCAAGGGAGTCTCATTCACCCAACCACCCAATAGTCATTTGTTTAGTGCCTTGCTTCTCAAACACCAAAAAAATGACCATCACACCCAGAAGTGCTCACGCTCAGCCAACACTCCCCCTCTGTCCCCAATCCCAGCTAGGTGCTGGAAGCCTCTTGTCCCATGCACTCCGGAGAAGACACAACCATTTATTTTGGACCTTTCTCCAACTCCTGTCAAGCAAGTCTCAACCTCAAAAGTACCTGTAGTTCTTGTCCCATGCACTCTGGAGAAGATACAACCTTCATTTTTGGACCATTCTCTGACTCCAATCAAGCATGCTTCAACCTTGGCTGCCTTGACCTCGCAGTTTAGAAGCATTCCTCAAACACCAAAAAACTTGCAGATCCAAAAGTGGCGACTTGCCACCTGTGTAAACTTGCCAACCTCTATTTCAGTCATCGAAATATCCTCAGATTCTGGCTCTTCAGATGTACAGGTTGATTCTGAATCTAGATTGGGATTCGATGACATACATAGTGAAGAGTGAAGTTTGAAACAGCAGTCTCTTTTTTTTTGAACCCAATCACTCTGTACCATACAAGTTTCTACTCAGACTATAGTGCTGTATATACAAAGTCCCCCTTCGCAGCAAACTTCCCTGTACATATTGATTCAACAGAAAACAAAACAAGGTTGCCCCAACACTAGAGGTAGCCAGCATGCCTGAACCATCCACATGCTTGGTGACTTGTTACAGAGAACACTGCTCTCAAGAGTAGGTCTGTTGCTCGGTAATGTTCACCAGAAGAAAATTCATTATCAACATATTCTTGATTCCTCCAGAGCCATTGCTTAATGGACGAAAATCCTAATTCTATTGGGTTGAAGTCAGGGGAGTATGGGGGGAGAAACTCGAGTCTAACACCTCTGCAATACCGTTAGTATCAAACCTATCTGGACTGAAATTTGGACACACTGCTCATGGCACATTTCCACTAGGACTTCAGATTTATGAATGGAGGCATTGTCCATGACAAGAACAGATAGGGGCTGGGGGTATGGGTTCATGTGAATGAGGACTGAGGCAATGAAGTTATTGAATGATTCTGCGGTATATGCATCTTTCTGAATATCAACGTGAACAATTCCATCCATTGACATTGCAGGAAGAACAGAATATCTAAGGAATAGAAGTTTAGTACCAAAGTTGCTGAATAGATTCTGGTACAAACTTGGTGCCATGGACAAAGAAGTCGCATTGCTGAGCCCTCTCTCCAGATGGTGCCCAGCCATATGCACATGAGGATGTTTTGTGGTTAACCCCTGTCTCATCCACAAAGATCAGTTGGTTTGCATGGTAAGTCGTCTCCATATGTCTCCTGAAATCAGCTTGCAGTTGTTCGTTGCACTCAGCTGCTGGTTTCTGAAGCTGGTGGGCAGGTCAGCACCATGACTGCAAAAGATAGCGGGGAAGCCCAACCTTCTTCCTAGTGAGACCGTGCCTGCATAGCTCTCTATGAATTGTATGGATACTTGTTTCAATCTCAAGTCCATTTTTGAGTGCAGCTTGTAGTTCATCCAAGTATAAGTCAGGCTTCTGCTCAACAAGGCTGTCTGGAAACTTTGGAACTATGAGTTAAAATATCCTGCACAGTGCTGGCCTTCAGATTATGTACATTTACCACATGGACACTGAGCATCTGATGCTGCCCTCAGGTTTGTTGGTAGTGCTGGTGTGGAGTGGCAAGTATCTGCCGAACAGTATGTTCAGACACTCCTGAGAAGTAAGCAATCTTGCTTGAATTCATTTTTGAGGACATAAAGACGATGATATCCTTTGCACCAGGCTCGAGGTGTTTCCCCATATTGACTGGATGGACAATTGTTGTGAACGTTGTAACAGGTCTATCACCACTAGACTCGAGACAGAAGAGAAGGGGAGGGTTGGAGTGGTTGCATGCACAGGTTTGTTGACTTGGAGTGGATTCCGCTACTCCTCACTGTCTAGCTAACTATACAGCTGGTCACGGTATCACGGAAAAGTCCGGTAATGACAAATAAGGAAAGAACAATGAGAAGGGGAAACATCAGGTGGAAATGGAGTCAGAAAAATCAGGAAAAATAAGAAATGTGTAGGAGGGAACATTGGCTAAGGGTGGTAGAATCGCGGGATTTGGCTTGTTTATGGTACACCAGCAAATCCCCGTTACAACATGCTCAGGCACTTCTAATTCTATATACATTTAGGGGGTATCATTGGGGTTTCCCTCAAATAAGGAAATTCTATTTCATTGAACCTGATCCTTCCAACTTTTTTAGGAAGGTGAATGACCAGGATCACATACCCAATAAATTCAAAACAGCAGATTTTTCTGCAAACAGCTGTATTAAAGGGGAATGCTATGCTACTTACCTGAAGTGGAAAGGGTGAGAAGAAGGCTATTTCTTCAGTCCCCACTTCAGGTATGTTTATTGTCATATCCCAGAATCCTGACCCCACGCTCTCCCACCACACCACACCTTCCTAACAACTTCACCATCCCCTACACCATAACTCCCCACTCCCCAAGTCACCTTCCTTCCTAACTGTCTCAGCTCCAGCCTGGTTGTGGCACACTGAACCTTGGCCACTCCCATCCCGGAAGCTCGGTCCTGAGTTGGAACATTCGGAGACTCCAGATTTGCTCCAATCTCCCAATGGATCTCCGATGTCCCGTGACATACCCCTAAACCATTCCCCCACCCATTTCATTTATTGGAGTCACCCAACATCCTTTGGATATGTAACTCTGCCTTCAGAGCTACCCACATCCTTCGGTGACCCCACTCATGTCAGCACTTATTAGTCACCTTCCATTTATAGCACGACTATCTTCTTCTTCCATTCAGTCGGCTAACCCCCTCTTACCCATTTCTCGTTCCCATTCATCCTCCGGCCTCTTACTCCACCCTCCTTGACCCAACACCTCGGTTCCCCGTTAAGGATATCATTCGGGACCTTTCGGTACCTCTTGGTATCATTTGGCACCTTTTGGTGTTTTCTATTATTATCATTCGGACTTTGACTAAAGTCCTTTCCATTCCTCCATATAAATACCTGTAGATTAGAACCTGTAGTTTTCCCCAGTTCTAATCTCAACTAAAATGTTACCCAAGTCCCTCTGAGTGAATCCTGACCCCTTTCTACAAGATACCTCAGACACATGAAATACAAGGACTAACTGAGATGTAACGGAGGCACAGCGCTCCCTCCGAGTCGCTGAGGCCATGTCCTTCTTAGAGCCTCTTGTACCACCCAGCAGAACCGGGCTTCCTGGAGAAGCTTCGGTTCACTACTGGAGCTCTCGGATCCCCTCTAGTTGAGCCCCACCTGCATTCAGACTCACGCATTTTCCCCCTACGATCCAGGTTTTTGACATTTATATACATGCAGCTTGGGTCACATGATGGGTGCCACATCACCCTCGCATACAGCCATAGTCACCCAGGTGTCCCTGTGGGGGATCCCGAGGGTGTCTGCTGTGAACACATGAGTTGGACATAGCAGGTGTCAGAGACCAGGTTTGAGACGAAGGAAAGTCTCCGTGGCGGAGGGCTTTGGCCTCAGCGACTTATGCCAAGAGCGCTGTGCCTAGTAACAGGTCCGTGCCCTAACTTACTAACTGGCAACCAGAACTGAAGGGGGTTAACTCTAGTCGATTTTATTACTGAAGTGTAACCTATGTACAAGTTGGATATATATATGGTTACAGCGAAGATGGGTCCACAAATGGCAGAGCCAAACGGAGCGGAGCTAACGGGGTTAAACCTTAGCTGACTGAATATTACCGACGAGTCGGGTCGCGGGGTTAACAGAAAGGCAGGTGATAACCCAGAAACGGAAAGGAGGGATAGGCCCGAAGGTGGGCTCTGCAGGGCAGGCGAGTGTATTGCCCAGCAGAGGTGGGAGTGCGCTAGCAGACGTCGGAGCTGTCTGGAAGTCTTCAGGGCTCCGTACTTAGGGAGGTGTAGGTAATAAATTGAAAGGAGGGGGTGATGACCATTGAGGGGTACCGAGGGGATTGCAGAATACGGGAGCTCCGAGGTTAGTGAAGAAGGAGCGGAGGTAGACCGGAGGGATCGGAGGGACCGGAAGTCAATGGCCGGGGATGGATATGACAGCAGGGGGTCACCCAAAGTGCCCAGGCTGGGCATGTCATAAGCACGCTGTAGGAGAAATAATGGTCACCCTATGAAAACTCATTATGGAAATATGTCAGATAAATCACGAAAAACCCCATACAACAAGTAGATATCAGAAAATAGAAGAACCTGAATTTAAATGAATTATTACGAATTATTACGACTACATATGATAAATTGGAAGAAAGAAAATTAATAAAAATACTTCAAGCTTAGCACCAACAAGACAGAATGCTTGGGGGAATTTATAGCGAATATTGAACAAGGAACTAGGACAATCGAGCAAGATTTGACTATAAAACCAACCAGAGAACCTCCACGGAAACTACTTTCCCATGCCTGCACACGTAGCCGAGGTTGGAAGTACCACGGAACAAGGATTCCTTAGGAACCAATGCAAAATTCAAAGTCGTGTTTATAATAGGGAATGTAGATGTCTCCCAAACAGACCCAATGAAAGTAATTTCAGGGAAAACTACCCATAGACAACAGAGATATGACCGAAACTCTCGGAAAATGAGGACAAGTTCCAAAGGAAAGCGCAAAGAACAAGCAGTAACGACTGAGACAATTTTGATGGCCCATTAGAAAGGAAGGGATATATTCTTAATCCACCCAAATTTTCATAATAAAAGGATCACACATCAATGAGATATTCATTAACAGGATGAGTGACATCAAAGTCACAGCTCAGGGAAGAGACAATGTTCATGCAAGATCCATATTTAAAACACATAACAAAATTTACATGAAAAATATCATAAATTGGAAACTATCGTTATGCAAAGTTTCAGCCCAAACGGTTCAGCCGTTGTGAAGTTACACCAACAACAGGAATATAGAAATCCACATCATGCTTAAAGACACGTGAGGGTGGCGATGCGAAGGGAACCAGCCATCGGAACCAAGATCCGCACTTCAGCAGATCA